GTGAGTGTTCATTTTGTATTAATTGAACTCTACTTTGTGCACTTTTTCTCTTGTCTGTTATACTTTGAAGTGAAATAAAAAGGTTAAAAACAAAGTGAACAGAAATGTAGAAAGATTCAATGATTTTAACATCTTTTCTAAGTTTACTAATACAAAAACGTGGCCAAATTATTAGGTTAGATGGAACTATGATTTCCATCTCAACGGTGCATGGGAAAATGGGAACCTGGGGGGAGGAGTTGCCTCCCCTGACATAAGAAAAGTAAACTGAAGAAAAATTTCACCTGATTTCTTTCTGCATGTCTTAAAGCTCATTCAACTTGCCTTAATGCTTCTGTTCTCCAGATAGCTAGTCTACTGGATAGCAGCTTTCATTTGGTACCATTTTTTGCAGCTAACTTATAATGCCTACCTTCTCACCTGGTTATCCCAACGTTTTACATTTATCTTACCATCCTAATTTACCTATAAAAACAGCTTATACTTTATTATAAAAAATAATTTTTCAAAATAAAGGACTGTAAGCATTACACTCAACCATATGCCTCATTCTGAATTCTCTTAGGGTGTTTGTTGATGATATGTGTAATAAATATTTATACAGCTGTAATCAGTATTCATACACTTCTCCTTTTCACTTAACTCTATTTTCCTACACAAACTTTTATTTTGACTGAGTTCACTTATTTGTCATAGTAGGTAGCTACAAGGTGCATGCATGCGTGCTAAGTCACTTCAGTCATGTCCGACTCTTTGCGACACTATGATCTATAGCCCACCAGGCTCTTCTGTCCAAGAGATTCTCCAGGCAAGAATACTGAAGTGGGCTGCTATGCCCTCCTCTAAGGAATCTTCCCTACCCAGGGACTGAACCCATGTCTCTACATCACCTGCAATAGCAGGCAGGTTCTTTACTACTAGGTGCCACCTGGGAAGAACCAGCTAGCTACAAGGTATTCTATCTTAATTATCTATGCTGAGCCTTTTTTGACTTAACTGATTCTAATGTTCACAGGAAGCAAAATTCCTCTGTATCCATCTCTAATGGGTCAGTCTGGACCAATTGTTCACTTCTGCTTTTTCCTCAAAGTTGCAACCCTATTATTTTCACCAGTCATGTCAAAACAGGGTTCAAGAAGTGACAGGTTAGAATGTGTGAGTCCTCCCAAGTATCTTATCAAGAAATTTTTTACCTCATTGATCCTTTAAGCCTTGTTTCATCTTATGTTGCTCATCTGTCTAGGACCCATTTCATACTGTCATTATATTTAAAAATTATCTCATGGGTCAGGGACTGAAAGAAAGTAAAGGTATGATAACCTGTGAACAGCAGGCTATGATTCACAGTAGAGAGCCCAATATATTCTATACCTCATTCCTTCTTTCAGTACAAGCATCTACAGGAAAAAGTGAGGAGGGGTAAAGAGGCAGGTTAATCTGTTCTTCAACAAATTTTAACTTAACCCTCCTCTTCTGAACTAGTCTCCCTCATGCTGATGCAAAAGGATGCTGCCACCCAGCATCCTTTGCTGTAGCTACATCATCTGAATTAAGACAATCCTTCCAGAAAGACAATCATCACATAATAACACATATATATGGAATCTAGAAAGATGGTACTGATCATCCTACTTGCAGGGAAGCAAAAGAGATGCAGACATAAAGAACAGACTTTTGGTCACAGTGGGGGAGGGAGAGAGTGAGACGACTTGAGAGAGTAGTATCGAAACATATACACTATCATATGTAAAAGAGATAGCCAGTGAGAATTTGCTGAATGATGCAGGGAACCCAAAGCTCTGTGACAACCTAGAGGGGTGGGATGGGGAGGGAGGTTTAAGGAGGGGACAGTTGTATTCCTGTGGCTGATTCATGCTGATGTATGGCAGAAACCATCACAATATTGTAAAACAATTATCTTCCAGTTTAAAAAAAAGAATCCTTTTCTTGTGGCTCAACAGTTTTGCATGGTCTGGTCAAACTGAGTCAACATTTTCAAAGTATGAGTATGCACATTTTTTTTTTTTTTTGCTATTTCTTTACTATTTATGATGCAAATAAATGTTACTGAATGTGTTTTGGAGCCTTAGTGGACAAAGTGTCAGATGATAAGGAAATGGAGAAGAATCTAAACTTTCAAATTGTGTCTTAAGCAAAAAATTTCCTTCTGAAAGGATTTTTACAATATGTGGATTTTTCCTGGAACAAATCTCTACTTAATAAAATCAGATCTCATGGGAATTCCCTGGTAGTCCAGTAGTTAGGACTCAGCGCTTTGGTGGCAGGGGGTGGAGTTCCACCCCTGGTCACCTGGTCCCATAACTAGGACCCCCCACAAGTTGCGCGGTATGAGGCAAAAAGAAAAAAGAAATAATGAAATTGTCCACTTTGACCCCTCTTCCGATTTAAATCAGGTCCCCTTTATAACCTTTAAAAAAGAGCCGAGGGGCAGGCTGTGTCCATGTCTCACTCCTGGGGTCGGGTGTCTGGTGAGCCTGGAGCCAGCTCCTCAGACTGCTGATCTTTGCATGTCAGGAATGACCCCTGTGGGCTGGGCCAGGTTGCTGGGCTTCCTGTCACTTTTAGCCAGAAGAACCCAGGTGTGTTGATACACAGATAATGTATTCATCGTCTTCATATCTGAGACAGTAGGTTAGTAGGTGGGAGACAGGACCAGGGGCCTGAAATAGCAGCCTCCCAGATGTATCATGTGTGTGCCTCCCCTCCATCTGCCTCAGGCAGCCCTGGAGTCAGAGTTCTCAGCCCTGCCAGGAGGGGCATCAGGGACCCAGTTTTTGTTACCAGAGTTCTTGAGTATTTGTCAGCATCATTATTGTGTAATTCATGTAATAAGAGAATAATGGAAAATGAGCACTTGACAAGTTGCTGAGACTGCATGAACCTTTTTAAGTGGCTCTGCCGTGACTCCTGGGTCCCATCCTGTTTCCTGAGCAGCGGTGCAGCTCTGCCTGCGATGCGAGGAGACTTGACCACGCCCGGAGCAGCACCCCTCCAGAAACCCAGCCTCAGCTCTGTATGGGGGCCAGGTCCTGGGGCTGTGCCATCTCCGCTCTCAGCTCCTATGATGTGGCCGCGTCGTGGAGCCTCTCTGGGCATTTGTGTCCTTGGCTTTATAGCGAGAGGGTCAAGTGTGTTGTTTCTAAGGCCCGGCCAGTTCTAACATTCTGTTTCTTTTGAGGTTCACTGCTCGCCATCACTTAGATTTTTCCATTCTGGAAGTCTGGGGCTGTCAGAAGTATTGTACAAAGGGGGTCATTCCTCACCCCACCGCATAAGCAGCCTTGACACTGCCTCTTATTTACCTCTGGTCTTTCCTCTGCACAGTATTGAAACACAGCTAGCATTAACACGTGTGCTTCAGAACTACACAGATTCGGCCAAGAGCATCCATGTTACTGCTGCCAGGTACCTCCTCTCTGAGCTTCCACGGGCTTAGCTGTGAATGGACATAGTGATGGGATCGCCTCTAGATTTGTTGTTTTGAAGGGTGAACAAAGCAGCTTGGATTTCTAAATCGTTCAGTCACTAAGTTGTGTCCAACTCTTTGCGATCCCATGGACTGCAGCACACCAGGCTTCCCTGCCCTTCACTGTCTCCTGGATGTTTGCTCAAATTCATGTGCATTATGTCGGTTATGCTAAATCATACCACGTGTAAAAATAAATTCCAGGCTAATTAAATATCTAAACATAAAAAAAAAAAGTAGATAAAAGCAGATCTGTAGAGTCAACACTCTTGCCTGGAAAATCCCATGGACGGAGGAGCCTGGTAGGCTGCAATCCATGGGGTCGCGAAGAGTCGGCCATGACTGAGCGACTTCACTTTCACTTTAAACTTTTATGCATTGGAGAAGGAAATGGCAACCCACTCCAGTGTTCTTGCCTGGAGAATCCCAGGGATGGGGTAGTACAGAGTCGGACATGACTGAAGTGACTTAGCAGCAAAGTCAACGTTTTTGATGCTTACTGTATTCACGGTCATGTTCTAGTCGCCAACCACAAGACCACCAGAGGGCGCTCATTCCCTGTCGATCCAGCCTTTGTCAGCAACTCTGAAAATTCACTGTAAACTTGACTTTTACACTCTGGAAAATTTTTACATTTAATCCATAAATATTTACCTAGAATTTATTGTGCTGCCAGGAGAAGGGCTAGGTTCCCAAGATCAGAACTGTGTTAGTCACAATTTCTAAAACCAGAAGCTAAGAGCATAGCAAAGGCTGAAAGTAAATAGCCGGCAACGAGGTGGGATAAGTGAAGTTTCTAGATCTGTGGTTTGCTATTTAAATACTGCCTCCTGGTTTTAGAAGCCAGGGGCTTCCCAGGTGGCTCAGTCGTAAAGAATCCGCCTGCCAAAGCAGGAGACGCGGCTTCCACTCCTGGGTCCGGAAAATCCCCCGGAGAAGGAAATGGTAACCCACACCAGTATTCTTGCCTAGAAAATCCCATGGGCAGAGGAGCCTGGCGGGCTACAGTTCATGGGTTTGCAAGAGTAGGACACGACTTAACGACCAGACAACAACAACAATTCATTAAGAGATCCCAGATTGCTCGCGCTCTGTAACCAGGACATCGATCTCCGCCCTCAAGGTACTTCGTAAACCACAGCCAGAGACATGTCCTTAGGTGGCTCCAATAGTCCCGCAATTTCAAGTCCCCCATCCTCTCCTTTTTTTCAGGGCTTCCCGCAGTTCTCTTACAGTTCGCTTCTGCTCCAGACCAACACTTCAGTTGCCCCCAGGCCCAAGGACAAAGAATTACCCGTAACAGCCACACCTGGCTCCGCCCATTCTTTTTCCGATTTAAAACCCGCGGGCTTTTCCTGTTCTGCATTCCCAGACTTCCTGTTTTGATTCTCGCGACAGCTAGGAGGCCTCGCGTGAAGTTTGCTTCGCGACCCCTTCTGCATTTTATAGACCTGCATGACTGTGTGTCTGCCTACGCCCCCCCCCCCCCCCCCATTAGAGTTCCTCTAGTCAGGAGTGGCGTCTACGCGGCTAAGGAACCCCTGAATGAAAGGGCTTGGCTGCGTTGAGAGTTACCGACCGCTTCCGAGAACTCGACTTCACGAGCCTTCGGTGCGCATGCGGATCCTGTTCCTCTGGGCGGTCCAGAGGCCCAGGCGGAGGCCGGGCCCCCAGCCCCGGGTTTGATGAAGAGGCCAGCCCAAGCCGCTCTATCTCGGGCCAGCTCCTTCTGGACCGAGCCTGACTGAATAACGTCCCCTCCCTGGCTGCAGAGCTCAGTTTCCGACTCTACAAACTGTACAGCCGCGCAGCTTCTGTAGGCTGCTGGGGGCAGGCCGGGGCGGGGTCTGGCAGACCCCGGGTACCGCGGGCAGGCCTCCAGGAATGTTCTCTTCCCCGCCCCCAGCCCAAAGTGCCACGTTGGCGCTTGTGGCGGCTTCGAGACCGAATGCCTCCGGCGCTGCCTGCCTCGCAAGCATAACCTGTAATTCCGACCCGGAGCGCTGCCCATTGGGGTGTTGCCCCGCCCACCTCTCCCTGCGGCCGCTAGTCAGCTGGGACTTCTAATCACCCGGCTCCTGGGGTTAAAGCACCTGCCGGATGTGGGCAGGGAGGAGGCGGCCAGATGTGAGGAGGCAGAATTAAGCGCCGAGTCTCTTGGCGACTTGGCAGAAAAGTGGAGTGGACAGGCCTGCAGTTGCCCCTATGCAGCGGGGAGACGTTAGTTGGCTTTGCCCTGCAGGAGCGCTCGACTTGGCACCAGAATTCCTACTGCTTTGCCATTATGCAACTCTTCTAGCGGATGGGACTGTAAAGTCAGATGCTACAGGGCCTAGCCTTTCAACCTAGCTTCTCAACTACCCTCCTCTCCCATCCTACCCCCTAGTCCCTACGTCCATCCCAGCCCACCCCACCCCAGCTCTAGTCCTTTCCAGCTTGGGTGTCCGGTTACTGCTCTTCTGTTCTGTGACTTTGGCCCAGGCTAGGGGGAAGTGGCCCAGGAGGGTCCCGTGCGGCTGCATAAAATTGGCAGCTTCAGAACTAGGGGAGGGGGTGGGGTGTGCGACGTCGAGGGGGCGGGGAGAGGGGGCGGAGGAGCTGATCTCCGAGTGTAAGTCCATGGGCTCTGTCACAGATTCTGAAGTCGGAGCAGAGGTGGCTGACGGGCCCTTTCCACTGCCTGCTTTTTTGAACAGGAGACACGGCTGCTCTGAGGGACATAGTCCCGGACACTAGGTGAGCTGCTCTGGGCCCCAGGGCATCACCCCCCCCCACCCCCCGGGCAACACACACGCGCGCGCGCGCACACACACACAGACTCCTCCGCCCTACTCCGTTTCCACCCTTGTTAACAACTCCTTTTCCTGGGACCATCCGTCCGCATCCACCTCTGGGGCAGGAAGCTTCAGTTAGATGGGTGGTGGTGGTGATGTCTGTGTGTGCTTGAGCTTTACCACTCCTTCCTTTCACCTCTCCCCAACCCTTAAGAACAGCCCAATCAATTCCCACCCAGCATAACTGATGACCCCTTCAGGGTCACTCTGCCTCCGTGTCCAGGGTCTACTTGATTCCGAGGTAGCAGGGGAGGGGGCAGTGCTAGGGTTCAAGTTGGTAAGAGGAACAGGGAGATTGCTTCTGACCTTCCTGACCTGGCTTTCCTTCCCGGCAGGGTGCCACTCACGCACTGATGCCCCGAGTGCTCTCAGGGCTTCCAGCTAATCATGCCACAGCCGCCCGCCGCTGCCTTGGCGCTGCCCCTGCTACTGCTGCTGTTACTGCTGGTAGTGCGGACGCCGCCTCCGACTGGCGCGCGGCCACCCCCAGGTCCTGATTACCTGCGGCGCGGCTGGCTGCGGCTGCTGGCGGAGGGCGAGGGCTGCGCTCCCTGCCGGCAAGAAGAGTGCGCCTCGCCGCGGGGCTGCCTGGCCGGCCGGGTGCGCGACGCGTGCGGCTGCTGTTGGGAATGCGCCAACCTCGAGGGCCAGCTCTGCGACCTGGACCCCAGCGCCCATTTCTACGGGCGCTGCGGCGAGCAGCTTGAGTGCCGGTTGGACGCAGGTGGCGACCTGAGTCGCGGAGAGGTGCCGGAGCCGTTGTGTGTCTGCCGCTCGCAGCGCCCGCTCTGCGGTTCCGACGGCCGCACCTACGCCCAGATTTGCCGCCTGCAGGAGGCGGCCCGTGCTCACCCGGACGCCAACCTCACTGTGGCACACCCCGGGCCTTGCGAATCCGGTACGCACGGCCCAGGGCCCCGACCCCCGGCACTTGGGGCTTCTTCTGGCGTTGCTCCCGGGTCCCGGACGGCATGGATGTCTGGCCAGCGGAGTGAAAAAGATGAGGCTAGGGAGGCCTCGAGTCCATTATTAGCTTACTCTCGGGGTTGGTCCGCGGAGGCCGCCGCCTGAAGGTGGGGATCCGGAGCTTGTCAGCAAGTGGCGTGCGCTGGGGTGCGTGCAAACTCCAGAGCCACCTGGCAGAGAACAACCCTCTGAGAGAGCAGGCACATAGTTAACGCTTGGCCTCAACTTTGAGCGAGTGAAGGGAGACTGTCTGACTGCCCAGGCCTCTGGAATCCAGGCAGGGAGATGGGTTCCTGTGAGACGCAATCAGGTTTCCTTTGAGCAGCTTCCTAAAGACAGTGCTTAGTTAACCTAGGCTCCGAGCCTCTCGTTTAGGGATTAGTGGGGGAGGGGGGGGGCTCTCCCAGCTTCTTCTCCCCCATCCCAGGGGGCTGAGGGCCATTCAAGCCTTTATTTTTCTTTGGCTGCTTTAGTAACCTTCTTCCTGAGCCCCCTTGAGGGGTCTGGTTTGGCTGGGACTGCTGGGAAAACAAACGCTCTGCGGGAGCTTCCCCCCACAACTCTAGGCTTTCTGCCTGCTGCCCAGATCGGTTTCAGTGTCTTTGCCTTTGCCATGTGGCTGCCCCACCTCCCCAGGGTGGGGCGGGGAAAGAGCTGCTTCTCTGGCCTTTGGCAGCTGGCACCTAGTAGGAGAAGGGGGAGGATGTAGGGGAGGGAGGTGTTGGTTACGAACACATTAGGATAGGGGCCTGGAGGGTAGAATGAGGACAGGGGAGCAATCAGGGGCAGCCTGTGGCGGCCAAGCTGAGGTGTGGGTCTCTGCCTGTTCGTGCATCCTGTCTGCCTGTCCAGTTCCATCTCTGCATTCCTATCCTTGTGTGTATCTGCAGCTACATTTGTATGTACTACCTGTGTGTACTTGTCGTGTTTATGCATGTGTATTTACCTCAGCATATATTGTGTTCCTTCACAAACACATTCAAAATGGTTTGTTATATGGGGTCCTTGCTGGGCTGGGTGTGCCGTTCTATTCTCAGGCCTCCTATCTCTACCTCCAGCACCCCAGATCCTGTTGCACCCATATGACGTTTGGAATGTGACAGGGCAGGATGTGATCTTTGGCTGTGAAGTGTTTGCCTACCCCATGGCCTCCATAGAGTGGAGAAAGGACGGCTTGGACATTCAGCTGCCAGGGGACGACCCCCACATCTCGGTGCAGGTAGGGGCAGGGAGCAGAGGCCTCCCCAGGGCAGCCCAGGGTCCTCCTAGAATACTGCTGACTCCTCCTGGCTCCAGTTTAGGGGTGGACCGCAGAGGTTTGAGGTGACGGGCTGGCTACAGATCCAGGCTGTGCGTCCCAGTGATGAGGGCACCTACCGCTGCCTGGCCCGCAATGCCCTAGGCCAGGTTGAGGCTCCAGCTAGCCTGACAGTCCTCACACCAGGTAAGGGAAAGCCCTGAGCTCTGGGGGCTGGGGGAAGGTGGTAGATTCAGGCCCTTGGCCGTGTCCAGGTGTGATGTACATGTGGGTACACACACAAGCATGGCTTTTGCACAGACTGGGATACGTGGGCACTGACAGCACCTCTCTCCTGTTCTCTCCCCTTTGTCCATATGTGTTTGCAGACCAGCTGAACTCCACAGGCATCCCCCAGCTCTCATCTCTGCACCTGGCTCCTGAGGAGGAGGCTGAGAGTGAAGAGGGTGAAGATTACTACTAGGTGCAGAGCTGTGGCATGTGGGGGTGGGTGAGTGGGGGTAGTTTTCATTCCTGCTCTTGAAAAAATCTGGAAAGGCAGAGCAGGGCCCCTTCACAGATTGACTTAATGCCTTTAGTGGGAGAGATGTGATGGTGATGGGAGAGACAAAGATTGGAGGAGGGTAAGAAGAGAGCCAGAGTCTAAGGGAGGTGCGATGCAAAGGGGCCCATTCAGGAGATGCTCTGGCCAGAACAGTCTCTTGTGTGGACCGACTAGGCAGAATGTAACAGTTGCCTGCTGGTTTGTAGGCTAGGTGAGTGGGTGGGTGGGTGGGTGGCTGGCTGGCTGGCTGGGGAGGAGCAGAGCTGAGACAAAGGCTTGCAAACACCAGGATCCTCCACTTCTTTTTAGCAGCCTTCCCTCCAACCCTGCTCAACCAGTCTTCTGACTGCTCTTCTGCATAGATCCTGCTCTTATTTTCCTAGAGCCCAGTCTTTGCCTAACCTGTTTACCCTTTCTCAAAACTCACCTACAAAATTTCCCTCTCATAAATCCCAGTTCACTTACTAAGTGTTTGGTGTTTGCCATCTGCTGTCCAGGAGAGCCTGATAGAGCATAGTTTATTTAGCTCAGTGCAGTAAGATGGGCATTTGGTCATGTCTAATTTTTCTGTCATTTTAGAAACTCCGTGAAGGCAGCACCATATCTTATACCACTTTGTACTGGACAGTGCCTAGCACAGAACTAGGCACAGTAGGCATACAATAAAGACTTATGAAACAAACTGAGCCACACAGATGGTTCATGCAGATTTGCACACAGAGACATTTCTTTAGGAGGCCTTCCAGGGTACTAGGAATCTGGCTTCCAGAAGTTGTAGGTCCTGCTCTCTAAGCACGTGCCTGCCAGATGTAGAGGAAGTCTGAGCTGCACACCCCCTCACCCTCCTCCATGGGCAGGACGGCTGGAGCCATCAGATTGGGAGGGAGGGTATCCTCCCAGTCTGCACTCCACTGGGGCTGACCTAGAGACAGATTGCCTGTGCCTCTGTCTCCTCCCCAGGCAGTGTGGGGAACCAGATCTATGTGGGTAGGACCGAATATGAAAGCATAAATTGGATGGAGGAGGGGAGAAGTTTGGTCACATGTATGAGCCGCACCCTAGGATTTCCCTACGAATCCGCCCATTTTCCAGCTGAACTTGGACAAAGTCATGTTAAGTCTGTATTTTCATCTGCCCCAACTGACATGTCCTCTCTCTGGAGGTCCCTCACAGAGCCGTACTCTTTCGCTCCCTAAAGCTCTCTCCACCCTTTGTTACCTAGCCCAGGGACACTGGTGAGGCGCAGTGTTTATTGACTGGTTGAAGGAGAAAATGAAAGCTTAAGTTCGAGAGACCGAGACCCTGTGTGTGGATGTCAAGGGCCTCCTACGCGCCTGGGCTCCGCCCGAAGCCCTGGCGCCACAACGGGAGAAGTCGTGGTTGGCTCGGTGTCTGAGCTTGTCCTCTGAGGCCCAACGCAAGGAGCCCGGCCTTTTGGGAGGGGTGTGGCCCAGACCCCAACCCAAGGGCTTGGCCTCACCTCCCGTGGAACCTCACTGCCGAGTCCTGGCTAGAGTCCGGCGTTTCCTGGAGCTGTTCTCAACAGCTCGAGCGGGTTGAATGCATACTTGGGGCAAATTCTAAGTCGACAGCGAAATCAGGAATAGGGATGTGAGCGGTGTGGCGGCGATTGGGGGGAGGAGCAGGCCATTAAGAGTCTGGAGCAGAAGGAGGTCTGCTCTGCGCTGGAAGAGGGGACGGGGGTCTGGGTCCCCGGAATCCGCCTGGGAATCCGCCCCTGACTTGTTCTTCGGCACGACTCCGGGCCAGCTGGGCACAAAGACGCCCCCTGGCGGGCCCATCAATCCTACTGCGCCCGCTTGGAGAGCAGAGGCTCTTCTAGATCCTAGAGGGTCACACGCGTCCCCAGAACCTGTACTCCCTGATCGGTTTTGCAGACTTTACAGGACGTTCAGGTGCAGCCTCCTTCTAGCCTCAGTTTTCCCCTCCGCGGCGCTGCAGGTTCAGGCCCCACAGCCTTGACTAGGAGGAACCCCTCCTGCCTCCCCCTCCCCCAAACTCCTTCCCCCGCCTCTGCTCCAGCGGAGCGGCTTTAATAACGTCGCTGGAAAGTGACACGCGATTTATTATTAAAGTAAAGCGGGGATGGGAAAGGTTTAATAAACGCGCTGCAATACCGAGGATTATTTTCCGCAAATAAATGAGAGTGCGCGAGGCGTTTTAATAAATAATTTCCCGCAGCTCCCGGGGGAGAAGAGAGAAGGGGGAGGGGGAAGGGGAAGCCGAGTTGCTGCCAGAACTCCCGGCTTCGCTTCCCCTACGGGTTTCCAAGCCTTTCTTGCGGCTTTCGTCCTAGGTTGCTCACACCCGACATGTGAGGTTCCAGGAGAGCTGACTCGCGGTGGTCTAAGACTGAGGCGGGAGAGGCTCTGTCCCCTTCTCCCCCCCCACCCCCGGGATTTTAAGTCGTTTGCCTAAGATGCGGAATGCACTTGTATCCAGCCCTCAACCAGAGGTCTGGAGTCAAGACTGGACCAGAGCAGGAAGGGTTAAACCGAGACCCGCCCCTCCCTCACCAGGGTACTAAGTCTCAGGGCCTGGCCACTCCCCTCCCTGCTTTCTGCTGACCCGGGCTGGGCGTCCACGCAGGATGTGGGAGTAACCTGTGGAAGGGAGTTGTGTGTACAGGTGTGTAGGTGCTACATGTGTTCCAATGACCCTGGCTCACTCCTCAGAGCATTTGGGGAATAGAGCCACTAAAACCAGTTGCTATTTGTTAGCTCGAAGGCTTCAAGGAAATGTCCTTGAGCCGAGCTGGTCTGAGCAGTGGGAGTCCAGGGGGAATCCACTTCTCCAACAGAAGCCTGGAGGCCCGAGAGGATGAATCTGATTTCAAAAAGGGCCAAGACTGCAGACCTTGGAGACCAAGGACAAGTCCTTGGCCTTGGTAGGTAGGGGACATCTGCTCGGCAAGTTCTGTGCCTCTTGGAGAGAAGTCTCTGGCGACACCTCTGGCAACCCCGGCGGGGGCGGGGGGCGGGGGACGACGGGTACAGGAAGTAGTGAAAGAGTGCCATCTGGTGGTTTTTTCTGGTTGCGGCAGCCAAACCTGGGTCTAGGGTCTTGAGACAGTTAATTTGGAAAAATTTGAGTAAAAAGGTGCTTGGATTTGTGTTTATATATGTATGTGAAGGTGCACATGTATATGTTATATATATGTGATATCTATAATATGTTTTTAGTAGTTATGTGTGTATATGTGTGTCTACATGCACTGTATACATTTTATATACACATATATATGTATGTACGGGCTTCCTTTTGTGGCTCAGCTGGTAAAGAATCCACCTGTAGTGTGGGAGACCTGGTTTTGATCCCTGGGTTGGGAAGATCCCCTGGAGAAGGGAAAGGCTACCCACTTCAGTATTCTGGCCTGGAGAATTCCATGGACTGTATAGTCCATGGGGTCGCAAAGAGTCGGGCATGACTGAGCAAGTTTCACTTTCATACTTTCATATGTGTGTACATCACAGTATTTTATGTATTTAGATTATATAAAGACATATATATGTATGTAGATAACCATTTGGTGCATATATCTGTATATAAGCACTGTATATATGGATGTGCTCTTATTTGTGTTTTTGTTGTTTTTTAGTTGCTAAGTCATGTCTGACTCTTTTTGTGACCCCTTAGACTGTAGCCTGCCAGGCTCCTCTATCCATGGAGTTTCCTAGGAAAGAATACTGGAGTGGATTGCCATTTTGTCTTCCAGGGGACCTTCCCAACCCAGGAAACAAACTCTCGTCTCCTGCATTGGCAGGCAGATTCTTTACCACTGAGCCACCTGAGAAGCCTCTTGTTATGTGTATATAGGTGTATACATATATGTGTTTGCAAATACATATTCCATTATATGCCATTCTTTCACCAAATATTTATGTGCCAACACTGTTCTTGGGGCTGGAGATACACCACAAAAAAGCACATTGTCTTTGCCATCATGGAACTTAACATTCTATTCTAAGATGTGCATGTGAATTAATTACATACATGTATGTTTGCAGGATTGCATGTGCATGTTGTGTAGCTCTGCTTACATATATATGTGTGAGGAATAGACGAGCTTAAATATTCTGGTGGGCTTGGAGATTCGCTGTTTTTTTGCTTAAACATTCAGGTCCCATTGCCTAGGACTCTTTTTTTTTTTCCATTTATTTTTATTAGTTGGAGGCTAATTACTTTACAACATTACAGTGGTTTTTGTCATACATTAAAATGAATTAGCCATGGATTTACATGTATTCCCCATCCCGGTCCCCCCTCCCACCTCCCTCTCCACCCGATCCCTCTGGGTCTTCCCAGTGCACCAGGCCCGAGCACTTGTCTCATGCATCACACCTGGGCTGGTGATCTGTTTCACCCTAGATAATATACATGTTTTGATGCTGTTCTCTTGAAACATACCACCCTCGCCTTCTCCCACAGAGTCCACAAGTCTGTTCTATACATCTGAGTCTCTTTTTCTGTTTTGCATATAGGGTTATCGTTACCATCTTTCTAAATTCCATATATATGTGTTAGTATACTGTAATGATCTTTATCTTTCTGGCTTACTTCGCTCTGTATAATGGGCTCCAGTTTCATCCATCTCATTAGAACTGATTCAAATGAATTCTTTTTAATGGCTGAGTAATATTCCATGGTGTATATGTACCACAGCTTCCTCATCCATTCGTCTGCTGATGGGTGCCTAGGACTCTTAAGTATGTAGGCAGTTGAAGGCAAAGGGAAAGAGGCTGGAGACATAGGCTGATAACCTTCTAGGATAAGTTTTGGATATTTCCTCTGAATAACCAGGTTCTTTTAAACAGGGAACAGCTATGTAAGTTCACTTAGAGTGATGGAATGTCAATGAAGATCAAGTCTCACCTTTACTCAAAGCAGAGCAACTTAGG